TCACAACACATTGGGGTTGAGGGGGGGGGGCTTGGACCTTGTCTTGGTGTCTTGCTTTGCTGCATGTGTTGTGCATGACTCACAAGCAGAACAAACAACATGTTCATGAACTTGCCATGCCACATAATTGCTGCCAGGTACCACTACCGAAGACGAGGTTGCCAAGCACCGCCGCCTAGCAGGTGATTCCCCCCCTGCGGCTGTGCTTGCTCAGGAAGATTACATGTTGACTCGCATAGTGCTGTTCCCACATCTTGTGCTGGCATGAACACAAAGCATTACATGCAGCATGTGCTTGGCAGCTCCTGTGCATGTTGCAGCTCAACTCCAAAGGCTTTTGGGTCCAAGTGATGAGTAGGGGACCCTCGAAACTGTGGTCGTGCAGTTCTTTGATGGCCGGCCAAGGAGCCATGGAGGGCCAAGCGCAGCCGAAGCTGCCAGTGCCGCCGGTGTCGGTAACCTTGCATAACAGCAATCATGATGTGCTTGAGTTGCTTGCTTTGTGCTCCTGTTGTCATTGCAAACATCATATTTGCTATTGTCATGTGTTGCAAAATATCAAAGGTGAAGCAGGAGGTGGAGGATGAGGACTTTTCCCCCCACACCCTGACGATGATCGCTACACTGGATGATTCTGCGGAATCAAAGGAGCTTGTGCAGAACCTCAAGGCTGCTCGCTGCTTGCCTGCATCAGTGTCGTGCTTCGGTATGTCTGTATGCATGCAGTTTTTTTGAGCTTGCATTGCATGTTCGAGCTTGACTTGTTATTGCATGACTCTTGCATGATGATAAGCAGCTCATTGGTATTCCAGCAACATCCTAGGCAGGCAACAGAGGATGGCAGCAGCTGCAGCTGGGGAGCATGTGAAAAGGGAGGCCGAGACTCCTGCTGGGGCAGGTGCTGCGAGTGCGAAGACAACAGCCATAAAGGCCCCCTTCCCGCCTGAGCCTCCCCGGGTGCTTACACCTCAGGAGCCTCCGTACCCCCCGCCGGGCAGACGTGCTGTGCCAAAGCAGCCCTCCTTCCCGCCACCGCCCAAGCCCCCTACAATGCCGACGAGTGTGCCCCAGCCAAAGACCCCTCCCCAGCGTTCCACGGAGGACTTGTTGATGCAACAGCGTTGGTTGGCGCAGCAGGCACGTGATGATGCAGTGCGAGAGCAAGCTGCAGCGGCAGCGGCCACTGGGCCTCCCTATGACCGATGGCTGCAGCAGCAAGCAGACATCCTGGCCCAGCAGCAGACGCAGTTTTTGATACAACAAGAACAACAACGCATGGACTTCTTGCTTGAGCAGCAGAAGCGCTTTGAGTTGCAGCAGCAAGCTGTTGTTCTTCAGCAGCAGCAGACAGGAGCCGCTGCTGTATCCCCTGCCGCCTTTGCGGCCCTCGGAGGCCCCATGCAGGAGGCGATGAGCATCCAGGAGGAGACTCGCAGGAACTTCATGGTGGAGCAGGAGCGGCAGCTGCAGGAGCAACAGAGGCTGGAGGAGGAGAGGCTGGAGCAGGAGAGGATGGAGTTGCAAAGGCTGGAGCAGCAAAGGCTGGAGCAGCTGAGGAAGCAGCAGGAAGAGGACGCGGCTGCACGAGCCGCTGAGGAGGCACGGCTGATGGAGGAGGAGGAACAGCAGAAGCAGTATGCTGCTGAGAGTGAGCAGCTGGCCAGGCAGCTCTATGAGCTGGAAAGCAAGGCAGAGAACCTGAGGAAGCAGATGATTTCCAGGTCCAGCCAAAGCAAGGCCCAGCCGCCAGGAGTGCAAAGGCCGTTCGTGATCCCCAGCGACTGGCCCAAGGAAGTGCCCTTGCCTCCCATCCCGCCGCCGATTCCCCACGCCGCACCACCCAGCAGGTCGCGATCCCCCAAAGGGAGCAGTTTGACGGAGAGTGTGAGGAGGTTGGCTGGGCAGTCCCAGCAAAACAGTGCTGCGGCTGCCAAGGAGTACCTGAAGGCCCAGATGGAGACCCTGCAGAAGCAGGCCACGGATGAGCCGGTGGAGGAGCGACCGGTGGAGGAGCGACCGGTCAAGCGGCAGAAGGACGATGGCATCCCAGCCCCGGCAAAGGCAATGCCACGAGCCACGTTGCCTCCCAAGCCCAAGGTGTCTGCTGCGGCCTCGCCGAAGGGTCCAGGGAGCCCAGCCCCAGCTGTGGGTGTGTGACTTGTTTGCACTCAGCATGCTCACATGTGCTTGGTGTTGCTTGTGTACAATCGCATGACACATGCATGTTGGCTTCCTGTTTAAATGAGGGTTCGTACACGCAGGAAAGCCAGTGAGCAAGCATACAACAGCAC